AATTATGCGAGCTCGAAGTTTCAATTGTTAGAGACATAAATCACTTTATCCGCCAACTCGTCTGTGTAAATCACGTATAGATGACTCATGGGGTCGTGTGGCCAGCGCACGCATTGGGCACTTTACCCATGGACATTTTTCACGGCCGAAACATCGAATGCAATTTCTGTATGTACATGACTTCTGGCGCTAGAGTCAAGATTTATTTTCATCAGTGTCTGAATTCTGAAACTCTGCCAACCACTGCTTCCCGTATAATCTCATTGATTGGAAGTGAACATACATCACACGGCAATGCATGGTCATACAGGGATAACTCTTGAAGTTGGTGAGGTGCTTGCCTAAACTTCTTACTTCTGAGTACAGGAGTACTGATTTGGGTGACTGAGTCGTGGGTTTGTCTCTGTCCTAATTGCTACTATTATGTTGCATGGTGGGTGGGAGGTGATTTTTGACAGATGATTGAAAAGAATCAAGCCTGAACGTTATACGGCACGCAACGGATGGGAGTAAGTGGGTAGCATAGGGAGGAATTCAGGAAGTGGTGTAATACCAGATTGAAGTACGCATAAAATGCCTTTTATAGCTCCAATACGTTCACAAAAACTCTGAAGTACTTCCAGGAAGTCTGAAATCTCCGATATCTTGTTAGTTTGAGACTCAGGGCGCTGTTTGGTATGTCGGTTTGGATTTTACGAAAATCTGGTCTAAAACTAGATTAAGTGTGTCTGAAGCATTAAAGCTAGTGCCAGAGCCTACAAAGTGGGAACTTCAAACATATTTTGTGCCTGTACTTCAAATAGGATTTTACCAAGGCCAACATTGACTGAATGAGGCCATACGTACTTTAGAAGATTGGAATCCACGCTTCAAAGGTTCAACCCTGAAGTCTGAGAGGGTGCAGGACTTTTATTTTGAGTTGTAGTTGGTAATTGTACGGAATTTACCGCTAGGAAAATGAAGGGCAGGGAGACGAAAGAACCGTAATTTGTGGTTGAGCACCAGAGTCGTGGTGGTGGCAGAAGTTGGCGTACTTAATTATAACGGCAGCGGCAATGTTCACATCTTAAGATAGATTCCTTCCTTTATTACTGCTCAAGTCGACATTGCAGTATATTGCATACATGTAGGTTATCAGACTGCCTGTAATTAAGGGCACATGTGTTAGCGCCAGAGAAGCGAGACACTCTGTGATGAAGTCGGTGAAGTTTAGACATCCATGTAATAAGATAACCAAGAGAAACATTATTACTCAAGCAACTGGGCAGATTTTTAATAAATAACTGCTCAACTACAGATTCCTTAGTCACTGGCGAAAAGTAATGGTTTCTATTTGGAACGTCTGACAGTTTTCAAAACCTATACATGTACAGTTGCTTGAGCAATAGTTTTCTTGTGCGCCTGTGATTGTATCTATGCATTTTTCAATAACCCAGTGCTAAAGGCTGCCAAGTTTCAGATATGTGAATCAGGGCTGCCAGAGATGTGAATCAGGAGCCTGTGGAAGTGGCAAATTGTGAACACGAAGAAGAATACATCTCTGTCACACGTGTATGGACTTTTCAAAACTTGGACTGTAGTTACGTAAGTCACACTGCAGGGAAAGTGAGGTTTACCAATGGTGGTAAATAGGTCTGGTAATGCTGCCTGATGGCATTTGATGTTTCGAGAACCATTAATATTATCAGACATAACTGACATGTATCGTTATTATATCATTTAGGCAACCATTCCTAGACGTACTTGTAATACTTACCTGGGACATTATCGCGTAATAGCTAAAATAACTCATGGAGTTTGATATGCAAGGATTTGCCACAAAGGATTTGCCAATAGCGATACACATAAAACCATGCCAGTACGTTTATCGCCTAATAAAGCAACCGTTATCAGATTTAGAGGCGTTTATCACCATTGGTAAGTCACACTTGTCATACGCAGTGTCATTCAAGCGGAAATATTACACGAAAAGATCAGAGAAGAATATTGCACCACATACAAGTGCCCTTTGCTATATACAGTATCTCAACATGCGCACTCCATCTCCATAATATTATATTCCACACGTGTTGTAAAGGTGCATTTTCACAACTGACTGGCTATGGGAAAGGTATTTCATGGCATGGGGAGACGATGCTTTAGCAGGCCTTCTGGAGGCGAATCAAATAAGCACTGTTTTTGGTGACTTACTGAAGAACCTATGAAAGATGGTCAGTTCTTCACTGACTTAACAAACAATAGGAGATTCCAGAGTTCCGGGAAGTAATGTGACTTCTAAAATCATAGACCTTCGGTTCCGGAAAGTGTTTGAGGGTTTTCGTGAATGTAACTGTGGAGTGGATATTATAATCGGGCATTATATCACTTCCTGAATTCCTCCATACATGTATATACCATCAACTATTCCTACACAGCGCCTGCTCGGTCACCTTCGAATTCAGGCTTGACCTCCCTGTCAATCATCTGTCAAAATCACCTCCCACCCACCAAGCGACCGAAGCAATTAGAACATACAGAAACTTCTATATGAAAACTCGCGCTTTGCTTCCTTGTATTACGTATTGTCTGGTGGCGACATGAATATAAGTGTAACTTGAGTGTGTCGCCACCACGTCTTGTCACTGTATGTTTCAATGAAAAAACATACAGAAAGACAAGCCCACAGCTCAGATACCGCGTCTAGACATTGCAGTAAGACGAGTTGTGTACGTTAATATTGGAAGCAGAAATGTGGTGAAACTTGCATTTCAGCCCCCTGGCACAAAAAACTTTCAACCAATAAAACAAATCTACAAAGCAATACTTCCGCAAGGAAGAACATTCACAGGTTCAGTCCTTGACAGAGATTAAGCGTTTCGAGTCAGCACATCTCTTCGGTGTCTGCGCTTCTAGATGATTCACGAGTAACCTATTCCAAAGATCACGTTGAGGAATCTATTTCCGTCCGGGATGAATTTGTACTTTTGTTCAACCATTAGACGTTAATTCCTGGTGGCGCCGCCATGAATGAAAAACTGGAGCATCCGCGCCGGTCGTCGTGGTTAGAAACGCGGTAACAAAAATAATAACCCCATCATTAATTGTTCCTGTTCCCGAGTTTTATCCATCTCCAGACGACAGATTGTCTGATTTTGTGTCTCCGAAACATTGCCTCTTGAGAGGAACTTGACACTTTAAGCTGTCTCTATCCGACCCTATACATTCGGTCGTAAAACACGGACAACCATTGGGACGGTCGCGTTGATGAGTGATTGTAGTATGTATGTAAGCTCACGCTGACGTGATTATATGGATGGCATCCGCTTGCGCATTAATTTTCCCCATGCGGAAAAGTTTCTAAGTACTTGAAGGACAAAAGCGGTCGGAAGGACAAGATGCCAGAAGAAGGCCTAGTGAAGCAGGACTCAAATCATCACTTGCCTGCACCACCAAGTCTTCCAAACTCAAAGAATATGTGAAAGAACAAACCTAAAGATTTTTTTGTATATCTTGCTCTACACGTGTGCAGTAATTATATCAACCTTCCTTACCACTAAAATTTCATACCAAAGGCAAGCTTTTTTCGCACGCTCACATTAGCTTTGTGATACCCTGAGGATGTCATGTCATATCCATATGATCCAATCAGTATGGTATAATGGTAATAGCTTGCCAGGCACGTGAATATCTATTAATATCTCTAGCCGAGGCCTACGTGCTGTCAAAGCCACGTTCTTTAGACAGGGGTTAATTTGCCTTTGCTAGTGCGACTGCACTTTAATCATTGCGGAGAATGCTATATCAAACCGAGTCGACCACCCTTTTATGTTTCCGACCCAGGGATCCTTATATCCATCAGACGTACAAATTGTTCTCCGTGGCTGAGGTGCTATATTGCCGGGATTACTCATTTCAAAGGCCAAACATCGTGAGTGAAATGTTACGGCGCTGGAGAGATGCCAGGGTGATGCACTTTGAAGCGGAGATGCGTCGAGTTCCTAACATGGTTTTATGTAAGAGAAATCCAGTCATTCTTTTCCACTATGTACTCCGACCTTTGGGTCAAAATTCGATCAATTGAGAACGCCAGTTCATCCCATGTGGTATATGTTTCAAAGTCCGCAAAATGCTTTGGTGAGCCTTTTCCGACGAAGTGTGGTAACTTATAAATTGAAATATGCCAAGAAGCATATAGGTATGGCCTTGCTGCAAAGCACGCTGACTCAGAAGATTGGTTCTTCTGAATTTTTTTATGCATCAACTTGCAACGCCTGGCTACCGGAGGCAGAGGTTAAAAGCCAAGTCGTGACATTTTGATTAGAAATGTATCGATCCGGCCAGCCTTGTGGACTTACTTTAAGTTTGTTCGCAAAGCCCGTACGCTCGCTCTGCATTTGAAAGTTGACTTCTTTACTTTTTCTTCCTCCGTGGGCGTACGTTCCTGAGTGAAATGGCTCAGTAAATTTGCCACGTAGTTCGGAAAGTCAGGGTTAAGAGCGTCAAAAGTGGGATAGAGGCGATGGTATATAAGGTATTCCCCGTGGACACACGTGCAAAGGCATAGGTCACTTTCCTCCGGAACACTCCCCAGCCTTCCATTTAGCCGGGCGACTAAATGTCCGTGGAAGAGCTCGATCGCTTCGGGGTACTTTTATCTGCTCCGAAACACCGGTTTCAATACTGTTTTCATTGACCGAAAGGTCAACTTTTGCAGCCGAAAGGCACAAATGAGTTTTTGGAAGAGCATACTGGGACTAATTTTGACCTTACGAAGAAGCAGTGGCGCAAGCAATGGCGTGAAATTGTGTGGGGAGGTCGTGTGTGATTGAACAGACGGTGTTGGAAAAGTGTATCTTGGATGCCATGCCAGCCTTTTTAGTTGTAGTGCGGTCTTTCATTCGCTTCCCTTGGCAAGTACGTGAGCCGAGAGCGTGTGCGCAAGCTAAAAAGTCTGGTATCCAAGATAGAGCTAATGTGTTTTCAATAACAAGTAAACAAATGTAGTCAATCAAGATCTAATGATGTTGAAAAAGAAGAGGCAACGACCTTCAAGGTAGGCCCTTCTGAGAAAGACCAAGTGATGGGCTAAGTTTCCTTGCAAATCTTACTGCAAAAGCTTCAGAAATGTTCCTATGGAGACTTGGACCCATCTCCGTTGACCCTCGCCCTTACATAACGCAATTACTCGCGCACAAAGGGAGGTACAAGTACATATGTACGTGTACAGCTGACACGACAAGGCCAGGAATCCGCCTGGTGACGTTTTCTGTGCTGTGATGATTGATAATCGGCTCAGGCAGACATCACGGCGCCCGGCTGTGACCGCCGACGGCTGTTTCTCAGGTCTGAAACTTCTCGCTTTCATGGATGGTGGATGGAGGATGGTGTCAGGCAGCTAGATTTGCAATCAGAGGATTTTGTTCACGGCACAAAAGTGCATGTCTGGCTTTATCATTGATCGTATCTGCACTTAAGCACAGTCTGGCGACGTTTTGACTTTTAGCTACAAAACCGAACGATGAATGAGAATGCAATGAACGTGTTATAAGCAGCTGGGTGCAGTTCTGGCTTCGCCAGTCATCCAGGTGACAGGAATGACACGATTGATGACTGTGCTTTCATCCGAGTATCTGAATACTACCAAAGTCCCAATGGTTAAGATACTCTCTCTGAGCCTTCTACCACCTTTCTCTTCCCCCAGAACATTGGTACCACTAATATACCACCCAATGCTTCTTCGGGGACGCAACGTACAGTCTGGCAACTGTTTGGCTCTTAGTAATAAAGCTTTGCGATAACTAAGGATTCAATCAACCGAGGCAACTGGGTGTACAATGTAGTTCTGCCATTGCCAGTGATCCAGGTGACAAGAAAGAAAGACATGATTGATAAATGTGCCGTATCTAAATGCTACCAAATTCCTAGTGGATTCTATCTCTTTGAGCCTTTTCTATCACTTTTCAATCCTCCCAGAACCATTTCTACAGCTAATTTACCTCCCAGTGCTTCTTCCGGGCGCAACAGTCTGACAACTGTTTGGCTTTTACTTACTAATAAAGCCGAAACGATAACTGAGAATTCAATCTGCCTAAGCAGCTGGGTGTAGTCCTCGCATTGCCAGTGATCCAGGTGATAGGAATGATAAGCTTTCTATCACTTTTCTCTGAACCAGAACCATTTGTACAACTAATTTACCATCAAATGCTTCTTCTGGGACGCAACAGTCTGGCAACTAAAGCCGAACGATATAAGAATTCAATTAACCAAATCAACTGGGTGCAGTTCTCGCATTACCAGTGATCCAGGAATGACAACATTAATGGATGTGCCGTCGCCCGAGTACTAGTATCTCAAGTCTCCAAAATTCCCAATGGTTAAGATACTCTTGATCTCTTTGAGCCTTTTCTCTTTCCACAGAACCATTTGTACCGCTAATGTACCACCCAATGCTTCTTCGGCGGCGCACCAGTCTGGCAACGTTTGGCAACAGTTTGGATTTTAGCAATAAAGCCGAACGATAACTGACAATTCAATCAACCTAAGCAACCGGGTGTAGTTCTGCCATTGCCAGTGATCCAGGAGACAAGGTTGATGATTGTGCCGTCGACCGCTTATTGACTACATTGTTGAAAGAGTTGTAAAGGTTATAGGAGATCCAAATGGCTTTCACTCGCAGAGAAAGCACGCGCGCGACGTGTTACACTGAGAGAGAGGGTTAGCCTGACTGCACCGAGCTTCTTCACCGCTTCCACGCGCAGCTCAGCCACCCAAAACCATACTTCCGTATCCCGAAGGCAATGACCTCTAAGCCCATATCGTGACAGTGTACATAGTCTCTTAAACAGAAGTAACATGACCATAGAGAATTACCATGCTTTTTAGAACTAGAACAGCTTGGCCCAACAGGAACAAAAATAGCGAAGATTTGAAAAGCTGAGCACTGCAAGACCACGTGGGGTTAAAAGTCTCACGATTAACGTACAACTTCTCATCGATCATACAAACGCCATTGACGCGCGCGTTTCATTCAGTAATTTCCAAGGAGCGCGTTGCGAACATCTCACAGGTCGTCATGGAGGATGAAACGACGATAAGACGAAGATCAACCGACTTTTGCGAATCACACGTTTGAGTTGTCTCAAAAGTGGCATTCTCCCCTTGACTGGCTGAAGCTTCTGGATAGATCCTCTGAGTGGGCGCGTTTGTGATGGAGGGTTCAGCGGGTAGTCACCGGAGGCAGTTGATGCCGTTACACAACATCAGTGGTTATAAAAGACATTTTATAGGATCTACTGAGGGCTTTAAACCACTGACGTTCTGGCTTTAGCGTTTGGTTCCGGTTGGATGGATTAGAAAAGCGATGCGGCATCAGTGGCATCAGTCATGGTAGAATATTTATGCATGTGCACATGGTGACATTGATTACTATTCATCCTTGCTGTAACGCCCCAAATAACCCAACCAAATCCTGCTCAAGAAATCAGAGATTTCAGACTCTCTGGAAGTATTGTTGGGTTTACGTGACCTTAAAGTTCACCATCGTGAGTTCACAGACCTTCGGGAGATATTTTGGGTTTTCGTGACCTACGACCCACGAGAAGTGCCTTGGACTTTCGTGGATGTCCTGGAACTGTGGAGGGGAATGCGTGATGTGGTGTTACACTACTTCCTGACTTCCCCCACATACTACCCACTTAGTTTGCACCAGGTTGCTTTGCAGGCTGAATGAATAGTTGAAATCGGCATAAAAAGGGGATGTAGTAGGCCAAGGTAATTAGCCGGCCAAAAATTGGACCCTCTCTGGCCGGCTAGCTGCCCTGGCAAATTATATCCCCTTTTTACTACTATTTTCAACTCTTCGGCCTGCAAAGAAGTCTGAGACAGGCTCCCACTCACTTGCTCTCATCCGGCGCATGATAGGTTACCTTCACCTTCTGTATGCCGCAACAAATGATCCACTATATGTTGGGGACAATATTGCGGTCATATTCAATGCTGACAGGGATGGAATCATGTATAAATCAGAGCAATCACTCAGGCTACGATAATTGGCCGCGTGCTCTTTCTGTACTTTTCGAGAAACCCTTGGGCGGCTTTAAAAGCTTTATGTAACCGTACAGACAGTGTGACGAAAATAGAAATAAATGTGTGGAGAATGTAGCATTAAATCTAGCTATTTGACTAATGTTACACGTACACACGGTAATATTTGTAATGGTCCGTACTTGTACCGACGTTTAGATCCAAGTTCATTTATTTCACAGCACCATCCGATAGTGACTGGAGTCTCCCAATGGTTAAGATACTCTCTCGGAGACTTGTATCACTTTTCTCTTCTTCAGAACCATTTGTACAGCTAATTTACCACCCAATGCTTTGGGAACGCCATGTTTGAAAGCGCCCTGTGGTGTTTTCGATGCACCTGTAGCAAAGGGTTTGTTTCAAAGCGACGAAATCCTGAATGCGAATGGCATTTACCACAAACAAATCGAGACTAATGGGGGAATATTTCACACGACAGTGTCCAGATATTCGTACGGGAATTCGTAGAATGAGCTTGTTGTTTTATTACATTGAGCAAGGGGCTTTAATTCAATAATTTAACCTCCTTGCATGGAGATACTACATTCAATTAGTCTTAGTGAGAAAACAATCAGCGATTACTGATAAATTGTCGCTGCCCTGGCGCTTGACTGCAGTTCGGCGTAAACACGGCGTCTTGTCAGTGATGGAAAACCGAATTACTGGTACCGTTAGCAACTTTTAATGCTGTCCCTGTTTGTGTGGAAGGGAATTAAGGGATTTGTACTTAGCGATTGTTTGTCCCTTCTTAAGCCGCAAGAATGACTTTTGTACAAATCCCACCCTTCGATTTTTACACAGTGTCTTTGAAGTTTGTGGATTACTAAGACGTCTTAAGGAAATCAATCTCAACTTACATGTTTACGTCCCTGCTACACAATTTGTCTCTCGATATAATCGATTGAATGGACCATTCTTCAGCTTTTCTTTTCCCTCTCTCCTTCACGATGTTTCAAATGTTAGTTCATCAATGTGTTATTTTTCCGTCGTGGAGATCGTCCAAGACGATAATCGAGCTGTATTGTGCAAAGAAAAATCCTGGCCGAAGGCTAATACATATTGCAAGGAACACACAAATACGATAAAAAAGGCTTTGCGTATAATGAATTTGTGTATATGAATCACCCTGATAGTTCTACTTACACAACCGTGGGGATTGACCTCTTCTTTTGCGGCAGTGCCTAATGAATATATGTAGACACACGTTTTAATGAAAAGTCTTCTAGATAGTAGCAGCCTTGGGAAATTAATATTATCGCTGCCCCGAATACCGTTCCCATGTTCATCGTGTAATTCCCAAAGTTATCACCGTGTTTAGCCAAATTTAAGATGCCCAAATAACATAGCTCCTGTGTTATCAAAGTAAAGCATTTTTACTAATGAATAAAAGCTCATAAATCAAGTTTTTACTTAGCGGAACCCCGTTTTCGCGCGGAAATCGATGGGCCCTTTAATTAATGTACAAGAGCGCGCCCGTCTTTTAATTATTGCTTAACGCTAACTCTTAAAAGCTCAGGTATAACTTGTTGTGAATTATTCCATGCATCCAAGGATAAGTATTGCGAAGACTATTCCAATGAAGATGTTAAAACATAATTAATAGCCGTATATCTAATCAAAATGCGGGTGCGTTCGGGGTACGATTTCGCGATTAAAACGAGAAGGGATAAAACAAAGCTAACGTCTAGTCACCGCCCGTCTCGTCGGCGTTTTGAATAATTCAGCACTGGTTTAATTTATTGCAGGAATATTCTAGACTTTCCAAGGTGAAGGTAACTGGGACATATGCATGAGTTTTTCACTGTGAAAGAGGGATCTGTGTCGGAGATAATTTGTAAATATTGCTCCTCAAATGCAGTGGAAGACGAAATTCATTTCATCTCTAACTGTCCATTTTATGACGACATCAGAAATCAATTATTTACTACCGCGTCCAAAATGCTGCCTTGCTAATCCCCACCATTCCTTACCACAAAAAAAGCAATTTTACTACTAAAATCAAAGAACCCACATATTATAGAAGAAGTGGGTAAATTCGTCTTCCATTGCCTAAAAAGAAGAAGTCAAACCCAGTAAAACTAGTGTCATGTCATGTTGTAGCATATAAAGCATGTTAGAAGTAGATATAGTCTCACTGCATTTTCTTTCTATGTTGTTTGTAACTGCAATTAGCCCTCGGGTAAGTATTTGCAATAAACTTTCTCGTATAAACCGTACGCGTTTTGCTGGTGGTGCGATACCATTAATGTGACACCAGCTTCCCCAGAAAAAGAATTCCCCACACAAGGTAAAGAAAGCTTGATCCAAATGTGGAACGTTAGAATTTCAACGTTTCAAGCAAAAAAATATATAATTTTTTGGCGAAGCCTCTGGGGCGAGCCTAATAGCGTTATGTGCCCGCTTCAAGAACTTTAACTATTGCATAAGAATGTCCACAATTGGTCCAAACGTCTGGGTCCCCCTGGAAGTAGGATCAGGTGTATCGGGTGTCTATTTTTGACCTGTGCCTTTTCACGTCATAGCACGCAGGCATTATGACAGTTGACAGCCAAGAAGCTTCAAAAACGTTGTAAAACATCCTTCATTCAACTGACATGGCAGAGTAAAACACACAGACAACAACCACAGCCATACCCCATATGAAATTCACCCATAGTTAGATTCATATTTATATTGTTTATTGCAAATATAGACTCTGGACTTCACTTCAGTGCCCATGTGTGGCTTTGTAACATGTTTGTCAGCGTGTCTGTATATGTATTGTAATGTCAGTGTGTATTTGTATTTACTATGTACAAAATTGTAAAAATCAGTGTAATTCAGCTTGGTTGACTTGTGAAACTGGCTGCAAGGCTGATTTTATTAATAAAACTTGAAACCGACGCTATGACAATGATTTTTAATGACCAACCTTGTTCACACCCAGATGCATCGCAGTGACGTCAGGCCTGCGCACGGGCGGGTCGGGGAACGGCCGGGTCAGCCTGACTGTGCCGATCAGCCTGGTGTGGATCGTCTCGGCTCTGCTCGCCATCCCGGACGCCATCTTCTCCAAAACGGTGCAGTTTCACGCCGCGGACTTCGCGCTCATGGCCCTGCCGTCCGCCCCCGGGATGGCCAGCCCCGCCGGCGGGAACGTGTCCCTCCCGGGCCCGCTGCCGCTGCTCCCGGAGAATTCACAGACGTACTGTCGCCGCATCTGGAGCATCGACCAGCAGTTAGCCTACAAGTATGGGAGTAGATGATTAGCTGTATCTGTATCTGTATAGCCGGTATAACCGCCTTTCGGCGTAACACACCAGCTTCGCAGGCACGCGGCGCGGCGGCAGCTGGTTATATTACACCGATCGACTTGTTACACCTAACCCTTGAACTTCTAGCTCTAGACATTGACAATGCCCCTACTGTACTTGGTGACAGTGAGTTCCACTCTGCGATAGTTCTAGGAAAGAATGAATTCTTGAACACCTCAATCCTTGGTTGATAACTCTGGTACTTGAATGCATGGCTATTTCTTGTTCTCTTCTGGGCTGGTATTAGGTACTTAGTAGTTGGGACATCCACCAGTTTATTAGTCATTTTGTACATCATGCATAGCTATACAGGCTTTTCATTGGCATCATGATAATTATCACATGAATCTCAGCTACCAGGTGTTTGCGGGTAAACTGATTAAGTAGTAGCATGTTGGCATGTTAACAAACATGCCCTGTATATATATATGGTGGATGTGAAAAGTCTGTATCTGTAGATATATTCTCATTTAATAGTTTCAGTATTTTTTAACGTCTTCGTCTTCCTCTTTGCAGAGCGAACTACCTGTACCTGTTTGTGGCAGACTTCTGTCTTCCTTTCTCAAACAACTAATGTTGGTTCATGGCATTAGACGACTAGCTATAACATCTGTGTCCATAATATCACCAGGGTCCATAATATCACCACCTTGAGAAATAGTCTGCTTAAAGATATTTTTACTGCAACATACCCTAGGTATGTACATTTGATGTGTGAAGGAGTGCATACCAAAAGTATCTTGCAGTAAAAATATCTTTAAGCACACTATTTCTCAAGGTGGCCATATTATGGACCCTGGTGATATTATGGACACAGATGTTGGATAGTCGACATATTCTCATTTCATAATGTCTGTATCTTCCTTTTCGCAGAGCGAACTACCTGTTCCTGTTCGTGGCCGAGTTCGCCATCCCCGTGGTCATCATGACGGTGTGTTCGGCCCTGGTCGCCCGGAAGGTCTGGGACCGCAAGTTCCCGGGGAACGTCAACCCGTGGCAGCTCCGCGCCCAGAAGCGCTCCCGCAGGAAGACGGTCCTTCTCCTGCTCCTGGTGGCGTCCTTCTGCCTCTGCCTCGGTCCTTTCTACGTCTACGCGCTCATCCGCGACTTTTTCGGGCACCTCCTGCACGTCGAGTCCACCAACACCATGATCTTCTACGTCGTGGAGGCCGTTGCCATGGCAAACTGCCTGATTGACACCCTGGCGTACGTCGCCGTGGACAACCGGATGAGGAGATACATCGGGAAGCTTCTCGTATGCTTCACCTGTCAATCGAAGGAGAATTCCGCGCCGGCGGACGCCGAGACCAAGATGGCGAGGTCGTCGACTTACGGACACCCCCCGATCGAGATGCGCGTGCGCAGAGCTAACACAGATACCTGTTTGTAAGAGACACAGCCATTGGACAATACCTATTGTCAAATTGCCGGATTACGCAATCCTCTGACACACGAAAACACGGGATGTAATAAGCTTCTTGCACAATATCTGCCTTTGAATAGAGGTAGAGCTAGAATTCCATGATCTCATACCTTCGGCAAATGATGCTAATCGTCACGACTAATGACAAACTATAAATCTCATTGATCAATATCGCTATTTACAAGAATTATATCAGTTAATCATATTCTCCACTCAATCACATCTTATCATTGACAGGCATTTCCTCATAGATTATGCAAATGAGGTCCTGTTTTGAATACGCATTTGTACGTTATGTTAATGAATATCCATCCATCGCTTCCGTCATCCCCGCGGCCGCCTACATCCACACATTGACTCTACCATGGCCAAGCCGAAAACATAGGCAAAACTTAGTACTCGTGATGTGAACATATAAAATGCATGTCGACGTCTGTCATGTGCACTGGCGGTATGCTTATTACACATTTATTGTCATTAGATAGCTTTAAACAATATCTAGAGTTCAAGTTCAAGGGTTAGGTGTAACAAGTCGATCGGTGTAATACAGCCAGCTGCCGCCGCGCCGCGTGCCTGCGAAGCTGGTGTGTTACGCAGAAAGGCGGTTATACCGGCTATACCGATACAGAAATTTGTAAGAAGCGAATGCAGCTTAGCTTGTAGAACTGAATCTATATGATAGATGAATATGTTCAAAATATGTAGGTGTGAATTGGATGGGACTTGCAAGTAGTTGTATTGAAGGATCTACGTCATAGGCAAGTCATTATTTCTCGGATACAGATGTACTCTAGACTTTCTAGTCAGGAAAGAAGCATTTCTGTCTAGTACATGTATTTCAATACTTACACGTCTGTCAAAGAATCGGAAAGGTGAAGCCACACTGTGCAACTCGTGCTTGTATGAATATGGTAACAATATGTTTGTATGTGGTTGCGTCTGGAATCAGAATTCGACGCGGATATCAGTAGCTCGAGATCAAGTCAAGTAGCTTTGTAGTTGACAAGGATTTCAGTGCCTGTCGGCCAGGTTCAGAATTTGAGAATTTATTTAAGGTACACGATAGAGTTGTGCATGTGCTGTCAAATCTACACTAGACAACATAGATCACAAGGTTCAGCTATAATATATGAAATGTACGTTTTGTTGAGTAATGTCTGAAAAGACGGACAATCAAAACAATTAAGTAACCAGAGTTTTTATAGATGTAACGTTAATAACATGCATGTGTATTTTTCGACAGCAGTGATAAGTTGTAATGGAATTTGTAGAACATTCTTTTTGTTGTCATTTATCTGATTTTATTCACGATTTAAAAAATTAAGAGTTGATTCATTTTAGGGAATTCTGAGAAATTTAGTCTTTTTGGTAGGGAAGGATCATTTACGATTCGGGTAACTAAACGTCTCTAGTCTAGATTAGATCAATTTATTGTGTGTGCTTGTATACGTAGTACCCAAATAGCCTATATAGCTATTGTGAATACAAATGGAAAGAAAGATGCACACTTAAATGTACATACAATACTGTATAGAAAAAGAAGGATTGTCAAATAAATCAAGTAGAATCTTTAACCGTATCCAAGTCTCTCTTGCCGTTGTGACAGATCTTGTGCGATGTAACTCTTACTACATTCGCTAGATGGCATTCAGTATTAGGAATGAAGAATCAAGGACACATATAGATTTTTTTCAGTCCGAGCATTCAAGCACGTTCCGGGAGTACAGTATCGTAAACACAGTTTAAATTATATGCGTCGTGAAATTATACTTATACATTTGTATTTACTACTTTATGCACTAGATCTAGCATAGCTTGCATATTGTATAATGCATGTCCCGTCCAAATGTCGCAAAGCAAATTTCTCATACACGAAAGAAAACGCATGCATAACTTCATATCAAAAACGAATGAAGCAAATCAAACCCATACACCTGCTTGAAAATCGCTGGCTAAAGAGGGCTGCAGTTCGTCTTAGACTCCCTAGATGTCGCTTGCAGCAAGTGCACAACTTCAAACGACGAAAATAAAATCCATACATCTGCTTGAAAATTTAGGGTAAGAGCTGCAGTTCATATTAGACTCTCTAGATGTCGCTTACAACAAGTGCCTAACGCGTCACGTGACGCAGCGGCGACTCAGTTGGTTGGAAAACGCACAACTTCAAAATACAGACGACGAAAATAAAATCCATATATCTGCTTGAAAATTTAGGGTATAAAGAGCTGCAGTTCATGTTAGACTCTCTAGATGTCGCTTATAGCAAGTGCCTAATGCATCACGTGACGCAGCGGCGACTCAGTTGGTTAGGAAACGCACAACTTCAGAGACACACGACAAAAATAAAATCCATACATCTGCTTGAAAATTTCGGGTAGGAAGGACTGCAGTTCGTCTTAAACCCTCTAGATGTCGCTTATAGCAAGTGCCTAACGCATCACGTGATGCAGCGGCGACTCATGGTTGGTTGACCCCCACGTCATGACGTCACAGCGCCCAGTTCTGATTTCGGCTAGTCGTGTCCGCAGACTTGTCATTTTCTCACACTTGTAAGTAAAATTTTTCCACTAATTTAATTTTATCTGCCCGAATAGCCACATCTAGTACATCAAGGATAAGTCTGTGTGTTTTTTCCATAGCTTAATTGGGAATAGTTAATTGCTTTTTGAGGAAAAAAGGGCGGCAAACCGAAAGAAGACATGAGTGTGTCTGTCGTTTTTTCCCTGTTGTTGGGTGGGAGGGGGGCTTATGGGGCCACGTGCGTTTCACATAAATTGTCAAAAAATCAAATGTTGCAGAAAAATGGAAAATTACGCCAAAAATAGCTGCCTGTGGTATGATTTTGAAGAGAATATTGCTTTTGTCTGGGTGATTATCGTTGGATCATGACATCTAATGTCATTTCCATCGATGTTGAACGTGACCATGACACATAACATCTGTGTCCATAATATCACCAGGGTCCATAATATCACCACCTGGAGAAACAGTGTGCTTAAAGATATTTTTACTGCAACATACTTTTGGTATGCACTCCTGCACACCTCAAATGTACATACCTAGGGTATGTTGCAGTAAAAATATCTTTAACTTTAAGCACACTTTTTCTCAAGGTGGCGATATTATGGACCCTGGTGATATTATGGACTCAGATGTTAGACATGAGACAATATTTTTAGAAGTACACGTAGCTAGACTAAAATTCATGGATTTTGACCGCTTTTGATGTTCATAATCGCTCTACCCCCTGCATTTCCACCCAACAAGATTATGATGAGATTACGAAGGTATTTAGTTGGTTAATAAATGTGTAGTTACATGATTATTATAATATGATAAAACATATTTTGTCTTGCTCACTGTCTGCAGACTAGCTACCACCCAGCATCAGTATGGCGACTCAAAGCTCGCCACCACAAGACTACGAGCCTGGGTGAGTATCATCCTAGCCAGTTTCCTGTCCAACAACCATCTTTTTTTTGAATGAATGAATGAATGAATGAACGAATGATTGAACGAATTAATGAACAAACGAACGATTGAATGAATGAATGAAGTCTTTCCCACATTTGATGAAATTATGCTACTCATGACATACAAAAATTTTGGCCAATCTGTCATCTTGGGCAAACAAAAATCGGTGTGTAAAGAGGAAAGAGATGTCACTAAGCTATGCCTTGTCTGCCAGCAAAATTTGCCCCACAAAATGCAGGAAAAAGCATTTTAGAGGAGCATAATTTCATTTATTAATGTTAAATCATACAAAATTGATATGAAAATTCAGGTTGGCTAGAACACTGATTTAAAGACATCTACAGTCCAATGCAACATCCTGCATTACAATGTACTAATACTATTGATTTCATTGAAAACAGTATCTAAACCGTACTCTCCAAGCAGAGGTTTGGGTTTTGGGGGTATTTTTAGCATGTTTTTAGGCTTTTTTTATCGGGGTTTCTCTTTTGCACTGAATTGTTTTTTTTTGGTGGGAAAAAAAATTCAGTGCAAAAGAGAATCATGACAAAAAGAGAAACCCCGATGAAAAAAGCCTAAAAACACGCTAAAAGACCCCCAAAACCCAAACCTCTGCTTGGAGAGTATTTAAACCGTGCGTACCTGGGGGTGGTGCACTAGAGATCTCTCAAACACACTGCTTTTGAAAGTGGCAGATTTATGTAACCTGGCAGGTAAATGTTAATGGAACTTCAAATGCAGAGCCATATGGATACAACTGCACCCAACAAAAGAAAGCTCTGTCAGTCTGTGTGTGCTTTACTTCATAAGCACAGATGGATTTTGTCAGAGGATTTTGAGGGCTAAAACAGGTCATCCAGACTCTTATGTAAACTCTATTTGAACTCTGTTCAGAGCTTGAGCTAAATATATATATTATCTACTTTTTACCCTGTATGTATACCAACGTTATTAGGTTTAAGTACAGATAGTAGGTTCGATAAGTATATCGTACACGTAGAAGTTGTTAGCAAATAGTCTTATATCACCACATTTTTCTTGTTAATGTCTGTATGCAATTAGCCCTCGGGCATGAATTTGCAATAAACATCTAATATATAGCCATGGCACATACATTAGATAATATACATGAATAGCTCAGTCCCAAAACTCGCTTATGTAGGGCTTTTGAAATGCCTACATAGAGTCTTAACTTTTCCTATGATTGATATATGTTGTATTCTGTAACTTACAGGAAGCTGTTTGTTGGTGGACTTGACTTTGGCACATCAGAAAGTAAGCATTTGGATCTATCTTTCTGGATCATTCCATGCATGTTGAGGGATGTACTGATTGTTGTGTTATAGGAACAAGATTTTGAAAACAGTAGTAGAATGTTAGTACTTAGTAGCCTCAATTTTTTTTTGCTTTATGGCTTGCTGATGGCTTCGGTAATTTTTGTTGTTTAAAGAAAAATAGCAAATGATTTAAACCCCTTTATGTTGTTACACAGCATCTTTAGAAGAGAAGTTCAGCCAGTTTGGGACGGTCACAGAATGCAAGATCATAACGGACCGCGAAACGGGAAGATCACGGTAAGTCTTTCACTAAATACATCATGTCAGGCATAGGAAAATTAATAATGTTGTGTTTCTTGTTTCTGCCTGGAAAAAAAATATGGTCAGTAGGTGGGGGATTTTGTGTTGCTCAAAAAAGGCTAGGGTTGGCAGCTAGTTGCTAAGATTGGTCGGGAAATCAGAAACACATCATTTTCCTTCAGAGTCATATCATAGGCCTCACGAAATACATACTGAGAGTAGCTTCCTGTCACTTTTGACTAAGTATTTGACTGAGTTGCGAGGTGGTTTTGTGGTTAGGGTGCTAGACTTGGTATCTAAAGGTTCTTGGTTTGAATCCCTGCACGTTCTTGGTTTGAATCCCCTGCACATTCTTGGTTTGAATCCCCTGCACATTCTTGGTTTGAATCCCCTGCACATTCTTGGTTTGAATCCCCTGCACATTCTTGGTTTGAATCCCCTGCACATTCTTGGTTTGAATCCCCTGCACGTTCTTGGTTTGAATCCCCTGCACGTTCTTGGTTTGAATCCCCTGCACACTCTAAATCAGAGTCTAATGTTGTGCCTTTGGCAAAGGCACCTAACTCTTGTTTCCTCACTCTTATCTTTTCTCCCGTAGGGGCTTTGGATTCATCAAGTTTGACACCCCGGATGAAGCTGACGCCGCTCGAAACGCCATGCAGTTCCAACAACTGGACGGGCGGACGGTGAGTGGAGATCATTTTCACGTATGCAAACAAGCAATTATGAATGTCGTATCCTTACGAAGATTCCAGATTCATCATACGTAGCGTTGGGAGAATGACAACGATGAGAATGGAATTCCAGATTCACTTTTGGGAATACATACAAGTGCACTGGTGCTTGAAACCCAAAAATTTAGTGGGACGCTGACAGGAAAAAATTTTGGGTGCACATGATGTCGAGAATATTCTGTACATAAGTGTACAATAGGTTGGAAGTCAGCAAGATATTATAATATCAGCAGTATAATTGTACGTAGAGTATAATTAGTTGTAGTCTCTGATGTCTAATGTCATCTTTCCAATTTTATCTTTCCAGATACGTGTGGACTATGCCAGTGCTAAGGTAAGACACAGCTACTTTCCCAAGCAAGTTACTGAGTAAGGTGACAGACGGTCACCAAAACTTTGGCTAAATAAACGGGGACACCCAGGTTCGATTCCGGCGTCCCGACGTTGTACCCTTGGGAAAGGTACTTTACACGACTTTCCTCACTTCACTCAGGTGAAAATGAGTACCTAGCTTCGGCTAGGGACGTCCCTCGGATAGGACGTTAAATGGAGGTCCCATGTTTGGGAGAGCCACACCCCACGCATGTTTAAGAACCCACCGTACTTATCGAAAAGAGTAGGGGACCTTCCCGGTGTGAGTGGTTCAAACCTTACAGTCTGGTCTCGGGGTTGACATCTTTGAAAAGGTGATACTAGTAGTCACCTGTTATGTCAATCCTTCCACAAATGTGGTAAATCTTCATAAATAAACCTGTTGGTTGTGTAAAAAGAGTCTCTTTATTCAGTGAAACCATTCACAGATCTGATTTCTTGTTTTCCTTTCTGTAAACAGCGAGGTGGTGGCGGCGGAGGTAGCTACGGGGGATCATACGGGCGTGGCCGGGGCGGCTTCCGTGGCGGCGGCCGGGGACGTGGCTACAACAACAGCGGTAGAGCCTACTATGGTGGCGGGGGTGGGAGTAACTATTACGGTGGTGGTGGTAGCAACTACTATGGCGGTGGCGGCCAGTACCAAAGCGACTACGGGGGTGGGGATAGCTATGGAGGCAGCTACGGTGGCCAAAGCTATGGTGGTGGTGGTAGCTATGGTGGGAGCTATGGTGGTGGCTATGAGGGTGGTAGCTATGAAGGCAGCTACTAGCTAGTCCTGTCTGTTTTCTGCACCACAGTCTAATTATATATTAGAGTGTCTGCAATGTTTGGCCAGTATATAAAGTACTTTGTTGTTTTTTTCTTGTGTTGGTTGTACATGCTAAGCTTTGGTGTGATACACACTGCTAGTATATATGTGGAAAGCCAGTCTTTTTTTACAGCTCCAGTTGTAAAGCAAATGGTTTATGACAAAGGTTTAAGCTGTGTTTTTGACACTGTCACAAGTTTGCTTCCAGAATTTTCAACTAACTCTTTGGCTACTGTTAATCAGTATGTCATGAGTGGGTTAAATACCTGATAATGGTCAAAGAGTGTAGGAAAAAAGGTAAGTAGAAATTTGATCGTGTTGGAAAGACAACCAAAAACCTCTGCCATATCACTTTTCAACACAGGTGAGCTTTCGCTTTAAATTGTTGCAATTGTAACAAAAAAAATGGACGTCTGTTTCCCCAGAACGTTCACAAAGGTAGATAATTAAAAACCAGATTTGTGTAACTCATAATCTGCAATATTGGGACGTGGTATCCCAGCATAATTGTTGCATTCCTTCTTCAACCCCATCCTATTCCCGCAAGTGAAAGGTTTTTTGATGCACAGCAGTACCTTGTTTTCATAGATACTAGTAAGAGCATTTGAACATCGTCAAGACTGTGCTGTGCCTACATATATTTCACAGGGTACAGTGCAATGTCTTTGGATGTATCTGGATCGAGTAGAACCTACACAGTTGGTATTAGTTAGTGTGCATCGAAAACTAGTAAGCAAAGCTACATAATCAAGTTAGCATTAGATAGATCACTTGTTTTGAGAGACGTTGTAATTAACTTCCAAAGAAGTGTGTCATCGCAAAAGAATGTATGTTAACATTGTTATAGATGTTGTGGTTTGTGCACGCTATATATATATCGATCTACTTCTAGCCACCAAGATAAGTAATCAGACCTAAGATAAGAGAAAAACTTTCAAGGAAGGAGAGCTTGTGCAGAATCTTGAGAAATTCCTTGTGTACATTGATTTAGCATGACGTTGGACCTATTTTTGAAGAAGAAACTCTGAAGACAACACATTCTTTTTACCGGGCAAACCTAGTTTTGTAAACTCAGGACCGATCGAAGACTTTTGTACCTTGTTACAGCTAACTGAAAAGTTTAAGAGCCTTATAGTGTCAACTTTGAATCGAGAAAAAAGGTAAGAGATGTTGCTCCAAGAATGTATATCATTGAAGAGATAGTTTTGTATGTTTTTGTCGAAGCCTTTTTGGATTGACAACTGGTTGATGACTTTATTGATGTTTCTAAGATGCCACTGTAATGATTTTGTGTTTTAATGCCTACTTGTATGTATTGAAAGGGTTCGTTCCATGGCAACTAAGTACACTCAAGTTCCTTCATGTCCGTTTGTCCGCTGTTTTATTCCTGTGCAAATGATAATGTGAAACTTTGTGAGCATGAACTTGTGACAAGTGCCTGTGAAAATGTGAATATCCAAGAATTGTGAGAACACACAGGATTCCAGAAGAAAGCCATGTATGTATTTATTGTTTAGTGTCAGCAGCTTACTTTCAAAAGAAAAACAAGTGCTCTGCACAGATTTTGTTGCATTACAGTATGTAATTTCTGTGTTCCAAAGCCAAAAGAGAAAAAAATATGATTTTATAATTGAGAAAGTGTTCTTACTGTGACTAGCAAGAAAGAGTGGGACAAAATGTATTTTGGTTAACATTTGTCAAAGACTTGAAACTCAGTGAGGGGCAGAAAAACTTGATGTTGCATTTCCGAGAACATTTACTTCATTGAACTTTTACTTTAAATCACTGGCAAAGAAGACAAAGGCTATACTGTTATCCTTAATTGAATCTTCAGCTTCACTAAACATGGTGCTTTACACATAAGCCCTTGCAGGAACAGTTAATCTTCTGAATAAATCATACTTGGAAGAGAAACATCAGTTCCAATTCTTTGACCCAACTTTGAGCACAGCAGTTGGCATGGAAGAATGACATGTAGTATGTGTGTGTGTGTGATTATCGGGAAGTGACAAGACCATAATAGCTAGGCTGGTGCTAATCTCCATGCAGATCCCTCTCGGTGGCAAAAAGACAGTATCAAATTGGCCAGGCAGTATCCATTAGCCAGAGAAACTCCGCGGCCACCGACGGTGGGGATCAAGACAAAAAAAACCCGGCCATATATAAAAAGGTAACGATCATTCCCCCACAACCTCTGCTTGGAGAGTAGGCGGGTGCAGCAACCCCGTAGCCTAGGTGCTATGCTCTGTTGGCTCCTTGCGATATGGTAGCCAGTGTAAACTAAAGGATGGCACACAGGTTAGCAACCCTGTGAATTTGTTAAACAATAAAATATACACCAGGCATTGTTAATTTGGCAATCGAAATCTGAAACACACTGCAACAAAGCTTACACTAGATATCTTTTGTGACTGCATTTCGTGGCTTTCTTTCCCTTGTCGAAATTCATCCACCTTGTGGTAAGGGTCAACATCATAAAATTCTGAACATAATCTTTTGACTTTTCCACTCTAGATTTCAATCTTATAGTAACACAATTGACATAGGAAAAAAAAAACAGCACAGTTGCACAACACAAGTTTAAAAGGTACAGGACAAGTCTGGTTTTATTGGTGAAAGAACATCAAATCAAAGTCTCAAATCTCATTGTTACAGTTGTTGCTCCATTATACATTGAACCCCAAAGAGTCACCATTATATCTTTACATTTCAATCATCCACATAAACCATTGAGAGATCAGGAAACGTACAGGATAGAGTCACACAATCAAAAATGTAAAAAGATCATTCTTTAGCAAACTGGTACTAGTAACTTCCGAACAAATTTTGCAGCTCCACCTTTGAGTACATCACACAGAAAAGGTGCAAATTTAAACCATTGATTCTTAAGGTTGTGTTGGTAAAGCTTTATGTTCCACGGTGACAGTTGGTAACATTTTCATGGATTCAGTGTGATTGATAACACAGGAACTAAAGGTAGGGATAGAGAGATATTGTAAAAATAGTTTGTTTTTGTTCAACACGATTCAATGGTAGACTTCTCCAGGTTTAGTTTTTGGTTTTCTGTTTGCTGCACAGTTCAATGTGTATGATTGTTGTGACTCTGGAGTCTAACTTTGAAACTTTTTACTTTAAAACAATTCAAATAGTCACAAGTGACTTAAACTACCTAAATACACTTCCAAAGAGGTACAAAAACAGTTAATTGACACAGTCTAACATATAAACACCCTTAAGAAGACTTCCTAAGTGTCTTTAGCTGCATCATAAGTCATAAGATATAGTGAAGAAAAATGGAACTTCAGGTGCAGATTGGATAACAGTTAACTATCCTCCCTTCTGTGGCTAGGAAGGTGTTCGGCAGCTCTTCAGTATGGCTGGTACTGAAAAACAAGAGTACATAAGAAGATGAGAAAAATCTTAAATTGAATGTGCAAAATAAAGCATCAGTACTGTTATAATAATACTGTTACAAAACCTTATGAGCCAAGCTACAGTCAGCCTTGTCTCAATTCTGGACAAACTCAAAACACTAGTAAAAGGGGATAAAGAAGGAAGGCTAAAATCTAGGAAAGATAGGTAAAGTTCTGTGACTTTGCCTTCACTGTTTTGTCTATCAAGTTTTGTCCACAAAAGACAAGGCTGACAGCAAAGTGTGGTTAGTGCCATATTTGAACGGGTATTGAGGATGGAATCAGCCAGAACAGAAGGGAGGATGGGAGATGAGGAACCCAAACCGAAAACAACCACCAAGGTGAGTCAGTACCTGTTGACCATGGTTCGGCCCTGCCCTTTGACCTTACGCCCAGGTGAGTGACAAGGTGTGACAAAAACGTCATAGCAACCATCACCAAGGTAACTACAGTTAGATTCAGAGGCTTACTGTGGAAGAGTTACACTCACTCATTAAATTATCTATCAGCAACTGAAAAGAACTTCTGCTTGGAGAAGTCTACAATTTTGTATAAAACAAAATGCTTTTGGAGTCAAACATCACAGTAAAATTTAGAAGGCACATTGAATTTGATAGAAAAATCTTTGTACTTTATTGTAGATGTCCTTCACTTCTCAACTAACTCGAAGGAATTGATGTTTTACTCAAAAAGAACAGGACAAAAACCAGGTCAACATTTTGATCACATCTGTGGGGAAGCAGTCTGATCTACAAGAACAAACCACACTTTTTATGAATGGGTTAATCAAAATAAAAAAGAGAAGAATGTTCAGAAGCCAACCAGAGTGCAAAGCTTCACCAGACAAATGAGTTGGATTGAAAAGGGAAACTCAAGGCACACCAATCAAGGCAGAACAATCTTGCAATCTGATGCAAAACATGCTGTGATTATTTTTTTCTGGCACTGCACAAACAGACCGATGGATCACACTCCTTAATTCCCACACGTAAAGCTACAAACAGGTATATTTCTGAGAGGATTTGTGTTAACCTGTATGAAAGCATGATTTGTGCAAGATCAGAAAATTACGTCAAGTTGAAAATCACAAAATCACAAGGCCAATTGTTTGCCACACTTGCAAGGAAGTTGCTTGGGAGCATGCCTCCGAAAACAAGACTTGGCACTTGTCAGAAAATTGTAAGTTTGGGCTTACCCGTTGCTGGCGTGAGTCGTATCCTGAGGAATCCTGTAGTGTCCAAAAGAAAGTTTTTTTATTGGTTTTAACTGGTACTTTTCAGATCTTTCATTGAGATTTCATTGAAATCATCTGCTACTTACAACAGAATCAATGGTGGTATAGCATCAATACTGCTTTTCACAGCTAAACATTTGCAATGTATTCTATTTCAGTTTTTGGAGCAAAAGTTCATCTCACATACTTCTTGTACTAGTGATTTTTTTCTGGATACTTTCAGTACTAGAGACTTTTGCTGAATACTTGTATTAAAGTGGAAATTTCTGTACTAGATGCCCATATCTTTTTCATCAAAAATTTACATGAGGAATTGAATCTTTGTTATCTAACCCTAAGACTAGGCTAAGAGAAATCTATATACCGATTGGGGAATTTTAACGACTGAGTTGTCAAAGGGCAAACCAACTGTCTGGCCAACAGGCAATGATTTTTTTTTTGTTTACTACACATGTCATTGTAAAATGGGAGGTAAAACAAGTAGGGACTAAAATTTGGGAAGTTTTATTATCAAATTATATCAAACTTTGTAAAGGCATCCCTTATGCTCCTAGCTGTACAAGTTACCTGCAATTCTATTTTACTCCATGCATGCATGCACACACACACGCACACCTGAAATACACATACAACCAAAATTCATGGTAAATGTTACAACCTCACAGTCACACCTTGTATCCTTTTTCAGTAATACAACCCTTTGCTAGTGTTAAAGAGTATACCCACATCATTGTAGCTCCTGCGGCCGCCGCCCCCATATCCGCCGCCACCGCCCCCGTAACTGCCACTGTCGCCGTAACTGTCGCCGCCTCCACGGTATCCACCGCCGCCAC